GGTTAATATCATCAACACTATTTGAACGGCATCCAGGGGTTAATATCATCAACACTATTTGAACGGCATCCAGGGGTTAATATCATCAACACTATTTGAACGGCATCCAGGGGTTAATATCATCAACACTATTTGAACGGCATCCAGGGGTTAATATCATCAACACTATTTGAACGGCATCCATAGGGTTAATATCATCAACACTATTTGAACGGCATCCAGGGGGTTAATATCATCAACACTATTTGAACGGCATCCAGGGGGTTAATATCATCAACACTATTTGAACGGCATCCAGGGTTAATATCATCAACACTATTTGAACGGCATCCAGGGTTAATATCATCAACACTATTTGAACGGCATCCAGGGGTTAATATCATCAACACTATTTGAACGGCATCCAGGGGTTAATATCATCAACACTATTTGAACGGCATCCAGGGTTAATATCATCAACACTATTTGAACGGCATCCAGGGGTTAATATCATCAACACTATTTGAACGGCATCCAGGGGTTAATATCATCAACACTATTTGAACGGCATCCAGGGGGTTAATATCATCAACACTATTTGAACGGCATCCAGGGGTTAATATCATCAACACTATTTGAACGGCATCCAGGGGGTTAATATCATCAACACTATTTGAACGGCATCCAGGGTTAATATCATCAACACTATTTGAACGGCATCCAGTGGGTTAATATCATCAACACTATTTGAACGGCATCCAGGGGTTAATATCATCAACACTATTTGAACGGCATCCAGGGGTTAATATCATCAACACTATTTGAACGGCATCCAGGGGTTAATATCATCAACACTATTTGAACGGCATCCGGGGTTAATATCATCAACACTATTTGAACGGCATCCAGGGGTTAATATCATCAACACTATTTGAACGGCATCCAGGGGTTAATATCATCAACACTATTTGAACGGCATCCAGGGTTAATATCATCAACACTATTTGAACGGCATCGGGGGTTAATATCATCAACACTATTTGAACGGCATCCAGGGGGTTAATATCATCAACACTATTTGAACGGCATCCAGGGTTAATATCATCAACACTATTTGAACGGCATCCAGGGGTTAATATCATCAACACTATTTGAACGGCATCCAGGGGTTAATATCATCAACACTATTTGAACGGCATCCAGGGTTAATATCATCAACACTATTTGAACTGGCATCCAGGGGTTAATATCATCAACACTATTTGAACGGCATCCAGGGGTTAATATCATCAACACTATTTGAACGGCATCCAGGGTTAATATCATCAACACTATTTGAACGGCATCCAGGGGTTAATATCATCAACACTATTTGAACGGCATCCAGGGGTTAATATCATCAACACTATTTGAACGGCATCCAGGGGGTTAATATCATCAACACTATTTGAACGGCATCCAGGGGGTTAATATCATCAACACCATTTGAACGGCATCCAGGGGGTTAATATCATCAACACTATTTGAACGGCATCCAGGGGTTAATATCATCAACACTATTTGAACGGCATCCAGGGGGTTAATATCATCAACACTATTTGAACGGCATCCAAGGGGTTAATATCATCAACACTATTTGAACGGCATCCAGGGGTTAATATCATCAACACTATTTGAACGGCATCCAGGGTTAATATCATCAACACTATTTGAACGGCATCCAGGGGTTAATATCATCAACACTATTTGAACGGGCATCCAGGGTTAATATCATCAACACTATTTGAACGGCATCCAGGGGTTAATATCATCAACACTATTTGAACGGCATCCAGGGGTTAATATCATCAACACTATTTGAACGGCATCCAGGGGTTAATATCATCAACACTATTTGAACGGCATCCGGGGGGTTAATATCATCAACACTATTTGAACGGCATCCAGGGGTTAATATCATCAACACTATTTGAACGGCATCCAGGGGTTAATATCATCAACACTATTTGAACGGAACAGGGGTTAATATCATCCACGGCATCCGGGGTTAATATCATCAACACTATTTGAAACAGGGGCATCATCCAGGGGTTAATATCATCAACACTATTTGAACGGCATGAACCAGGGTTGATATCATCAACACTATTTGAACGGCATCCAGGGGCATGGACGGCATCCAGGGAGTTATATCATCAACACTAAACTGAGGGGCAAAAGAAACGATCATTTTTGTATTTGAACGTGCATCCAGTTGGGTTAATATGCAGACTGTCAACAGAACAATTGAAACAATTTTTTGTAGAGTTTTGTGACGTTCTTCACAGGAGGTTCAAATGTCCGGTTTTCGATCATGACAACACATGCACATCAGTACTGACAGAGTGTCTTTGAGTGTCCAACTTCTCAGTAGCGAGTGTGTCCACCTCTTGCAGCGATACATGCTGCCACACGACGTCGTGCAGAGTGCACAAGACGTCTGATCACGTGACCTGGGATGCGACGCCATTCTTCCAGGAGCCAAAGCGTTTCTTGTCTGTGGGGATGTTGACGTTGCTTAACCTGACGGCCGAGATGATCCCATAGGTGCTCAATAGGTGATAAATCGGGGGATCTTGCTGGCCAAGGAATGACGTTTACATTGTTGTTGTTCAGGAAGTTCCGGGTAACAACAGCAGTGTGGGGAGTAGCGTTATCCTGCTGAAACAACACGCCTCGATTTTGCTGGAGGAAGGGTAACACGACAGGTGGTAAAACAACATCAATGTATCGACGGGCATTCAGGTTTCCCTCTATCACCAACAAGTCAGTCTTCCTCTCGCCACAAATTCCCCCCCCCCCCATCACACTACCGCCGCCAAACGTCTCAACTTCCTGAACGCAACAACGTGTTGTGCGTCTGTAGACTCGTACCCGACCATCAGCTTTGTTCAACTGGAAGCGGCTCTCGTCACTGAAGAGTACCCGGCGCCAGTTCCGCGGCTGCCACTGCCGAACTCTACGTGCCCAAGCCAATCGACGACGTCGATGTTCACGCGTTAACGTCACGCCCCGGAATGGTCTGTAGGCTCTGATACCGAATCGGCGGAGTCGTCTGGATATGGTCCTTCTACTGACTGGATGGGTAAGGCTGGTTGTTGCTGATGACGTCACAGTCAGGAATCTGTTGCGCAAGTGAAGCACCCGTAAATGGCGGTCTTCCTGAGGGGGTGGTTACGGGTGGTCTCCCTGTCCTAGGCCTGTCTGCAGTCCGACCTGTTGTTCTGAAGCGTGTCATCAGTCTGGTGATGGTTTTCTTGCTGCAACCCATGATTCTTGCAACGTGACTGTGAGAAGCACCCAGCTGCAACATCCCAATAGCTCGTTCTCTCTGTTCTGCCGTGAGTCGAGGCATGTTCTTTGTGTCCAACGTATTGAAGTGATGAATTCGAACAGTCGAGCATAATTTTTATACTGTACTTTCATACGGGTATGTTTCCACAGAAGCATGCTAAAAACGTGAATAAAAGCAATTTTCATGCTTACAAAAAACTCCACGTGGATTTCCTTTCTGTGAGACGTGGGGATGCGTTCGGGAGATGTGGTCCTAACTAAATTTCCGTCATAACGAAAACAGAAGAACTGTTTTTTACAATTTTACTTTGGGGACGTTTCTTTTTGCCCCTCAGTTTATTTGAACGGCATCCAGTGGGTTAATATCATCAACACTATTTGAGCGGTATCCAGGGGGTTAATATCATCAACACTATTTGAACGGTATTCAGGGGTTTAATATCAACACTATTTGAACAGGTAACATTTGTTTTTTTAAATATGTGAAGAACTCAGGGATATGTGTGCTGCAGCTGAGTGTTAAACATGTGCGAGGTAATTGGCGTTTCATGAAGACCTTACGTGAAACGGGATTTTGTAAACACGGTCAAATAGGCGCGGTGGGGTAGCCCAGTGGTTGAAGCGTTCGCTCGTCACACCGAAGACCCGGGTTTGATTCCCCACATGGCTACAATGTGTGAAGCCCATTTCTGGTGTTCCCCGTCGTGATATTGCTGGAATATTGCTAAAAGCGGCATAAAACAAAGCTAAGTCACTTACTCACCCTCTCACTATCAATTATAACGGAAAACTCACTTCAGCGTTCGTGTTTGCCTGCCACCCAGACGATTTAAAGGTTATCCCAAGGTTCTATTGGTGACCTGACAAAAAAACATCCCACTGATCCCTAATTGGTTATTTTTCAAATTCAGTTCAACGGGTAAATACCCGATATTTACATTTACAGCATACAGTAAACGATGCCGCGAATGGCGAAATCGTCATGTGTCAAAAATGGCCAGATTTCCGATGTACATAATTCTTACTGGTCATTTCAGCAATTGTGGTTTACCTAAAAACAGTGTGTTAGATCAAGAAACAGAGAACTGGGGCAGATATTTGTCTTTCTGGCATCCAGGGATTTATATAGCTGAGATGATTTGGGTGATGATTGTTTTCAGTTTAATTTTGTATACCGTGTGTTTAGTCACTGTTGAAGGGGTACATTTCCCTGTGGCACCAAAAGGGTTAAATCTCAGCAGTAATCAGATACATATGTCCATTCTTCCTTTGTTAAACGACACCGACCACATGGTACTTGACTAACACTGCTTGTGGTGCATGGCATGAAGCCAGCATTGCGCCGCTCTCTGTCCTATCTGGCTGAGAAGACGGCCGGGCACCTCAGTGTATACCTGTGACGTCACCAGCAGTGTGGCGTCACTGTCACTGTACAAATGGCGCCATGTCAGCTGGGGTGAACCTCTGCTCAGTCTGAGGTCACAGAGTGCAGCGACATGTAAACAAACAGTTTGTTGTTGTCGGTTTCACAATTCGCGATATTCTCAGAACAAAATTAACACAGAATAATGTTAAGACGGGCGACGTTTACGTACAATCACTCACCGTTCATATTTACACTCACTTCACAATTTTCTTACCTGATCACGCGAGGTTCCAAACACAACAAATGACAAAATGTCTGAAAATACTTTCAACAAGTTTTATTTATATTCACAAAGTAAAAGGAAATCACGTGAATCGTGACACACGACAACGTGGACGGCACACACCGCGTCAGTGTCAGTAACGACATGTGCACCGTCACCGTCCACACCGACACCGACTTCAGTGTCCACCACGTGACACCAGGAACTCCGCCACTCGCGGATGTCCCTTGTATCTCGCCCAGTCAACCGCTGTCTCCCCGTCGTTGTTCCTGGCGTTGACGTCCGCCAGGTTCCTGGACACGATCAGCTTCACCTTCTCCAGGTCTCCACCCATACAGGCGAAGTGAAGGATGTTGTCACCGTCCCCGTCCACCAGCGACACATCAGCCCCTCTACCCACCAGGAACTCCACCACATCGCTGTGTCCATACCGTGCTGCCTCCATCACCGGTGTCCAGCTGTTGTATCCTCTACTGTTGATGTCCAGCAGGTTCCTGGACACGATCAGCTTAACCGTCTCCAGGTCTCCACCATAACAGGCCCAGTGAAGGACGTTGTCACCGTTCCTGTCCACCAGCGACACATCAGCCCCTCTACCCACCAGGAACTCCACCACATCGCTGTGTCTGTTCCATGCTGCCGCCATCACCGGTGTCGTGATGTATCCTCCTCTCGTGTTGATGTCCACGTGACCCGCTGCCAGGATCCGCTTCACTGTCTCCAGGTCACCGTCCTTGCTGGCGGAGAAGAGGCGGCGGCCTGCTGCTGGTGATGGAGTCGCTGCAACACAACGTAAACATCAGACATCTGTGTCACACATCTACAATGTCTTCACCATGTTGATACGTGACTCGGACATTGCTGCATCGTTTAAACAATTCCATCATGGCTGACAACAATACAACATGGCGGGAATGTCAACATGTGGTTTCTGGGATAAACGATGGTGTGTTTAACACAGAACTTTCTGTTAGAGCCAGAAGTTGTAGCAATATTTTGTGCACGGCTGGAGAGTGATGATGTTTGTTGAGCTTTACAAGTTGATAATGTCAGTACAAATGTTGTTTGGTATTTATTAGGGCAATAAGATGTAAGGCTGCCTGCTGGGTTTTCCCACCTACCGTGTGGATCAGAGTCGTGTGTGGTCACTGGCGTTGGTGGAACCGTGGTGTTCGGGCTCGGGTCAGTCGTGGCTGAAACAGGGAATATGTTGTTCACAAAACTATATAACTACTAGCTTCAGTTTTCGCCTTTCCACATAAGTTGTGCCATTCAATATTATGTATGATTTAATTCCAAATACATCTTTTACGGAAGATGTATTAAATATATATGGTTCAATTTGATTTAGATAACTCTTCATCGAGACCGCGTGTCTATGCAGGAAAAAAGCAACCCTTCCTAAATTTAGTTTTTACAGTTTGAAATCCTGTGATTGACAACATGAACGTCGATCGATATAATAGGTGAGACTCATCCCTCAAGTCAGAATCTCCACAGGTATATACATCAGCGTGTTAAATGGAAGAAAAATTAAGGACTGAGCTTCCTGCCTGCTGGGTTTTCTAACCTACCGTGTAGATCAGAGTCTTGTGTCGTCACTGGCGCTAGTGAAGCCGTGTTGCTCGGGCTCGGGTCAGTGGAGGCTGAAACAGGGAATATTTTAGTCAGAAAACTATACATAGCACATAAGCATTATAACTACTGGTCTCAGTTTTCTCTTCCCACAAATGTTTTGCCTTTCAATAGTATGTATGAATAAATTCAAAATACATATGTTATAGCAGAGGTATTAAATATTAATATGTGGTTTGATTTGATCGAGATACCTGTTCATAAAAGACCGCGTGTCTCTGCAGGAAAAAAGAGAACACTTCCTAAATTTATTTTTACAGTTTGAATCTGACAATGTAATAAGCTGTGCACTGACTGTATGTTAACAGCTGAAATGCTCCTCTTTGTTGAAATGCTGTAACTGAATAGATTGTTTTTTTTTGTTTTGAAATATAAACATTAACGGTGAAACTAAAGAATCTGTTCGCCCCCAGGGTTGGGGCTAGGTTAGGGGCGAGTATATTCTACGGGGACTTCATATATAAACATACATCATTATTTACATTATTACACTGAAAGTAAAAGTAGATAAAGAAACAAAAACATCTGCACTTATACCTACTCATAATTCCTCTTTATGGAATCACCACCTGCTTAGTCTGACTTCATTTATCGTGACTGGAATTCAAAATGCCTTTCCATTATGTCCCCACCCCACCCCACCCTTCCTGTTAAGTGTACATGGTATTTTAGGCAATATTCCGTAAATTCTAATGTGAAGCAGATTAAAACTTCAGTGTTTATCACGCAATGTGTAGGGCAGCATGGCAACTTTCCTCGGTGTTTGTGCAACACAGTTGTAATTTGTGTCAGGAAAACTCCTCACACAACTGTTAACTGAGGCGGAAACTGTAGCTGACACAACCGTTCCTGTTGTTGGAAGCAGCGTGCTTTGATATACAACAAGTGTACAAACACGTGGCAGTGTGAGGTGGTAAAGATCGAAATGTCGGCTGTACGAGTGATTAACATTCTCCGTCTGTTTCAATGTTAGAAATAACGAGAAAAAAGCATAGTTGCCTTTCCATAATCTACATTCTACTGCATTTTTTAAAAGTGTTGCAGAAATACATATGTTCCACATAAAGGTTTCAGTGTTAAAAGAGCTAGCTACAGGCCTTCAATGTAAACATTCAGCTGATACTGTCGGTCGTGTGCTATAAAGGGGGGATGTATACTCATGGGACATAAGTATTCGTCAGTCGGCAAAATTCTCATAGACTTGCATGTTATTTAGTGTAGCTGTAATAATTTTCATGAATTCGGTTTTCGTTATTTGGTTGTCAAATTTTGCAGGTTGTTAGGAAATCATCTTGGTCACAGATACATAATTTCCATGTAATGTTCCTTCAAGTATTTACTGCATTGTAGTTACATGAGCAACATATAGATCTATATACAACCTTGTGTATTCTTTCCCCATAGACTGCCATGTTAAAAATTGTCTTAACCATGTGACACGCATCAATCAAAGTGCAGTCATTCTTGAAATACTGAATGGAAAATAGAACGGAAAATATGTCTTTGCAGCTGAGATGATTCATGACACGTGTAAAATATGAACAAGATCAAACGACAAATAAATTCAAGATGATGTTTCTAGCAGCACCAAGTTAACAATTAAGTCTATAGAAATTATGCACAATGACAAATACTTATGTCCAATGACTGTATTTCAATGCAATGCAGTTATTCATTGCCACAGAACACAAGATATAGACTCCATTAAAGATATTCCGGACACTTGACGTAACTTCCATAGACTTGTAAACATGTTAATTTAATGTAGCATAAAGAATTTTCATGAATTTAATTTGCGTATGATCCAAGTCAAATTTTGCACATTTGTGAGGAATCATCGTACCTACAATTACATAATCTTTGTTTAATTTTCCATTGCTTATTTATCGAATGACAACAATTTAATCAACACGTGCACAGTGCCGTGATTTCCTTTAACATGGCGGCCTATGGGATTGTGCATTGTGGAAGTATAAGTAAGTTGATAAATGTGATGTCATTAGTTACATAGTGGTCAGGAGAATTGAACTGAAATTATGAGCGCAGAGCAGAGATGATTTCAAATTTTTCTGTCAAATTTGAGAAAAATCTATTCTAAACTCACCTCATGAAAATTATTTATGCTACACTGAAATATCATGTAAGTCTATGGAAATGACGTCAAGTGTCCGAATATGCACATGAAACACATCCGTTACTTGACTGGAGAGATTTAAAATAATCTCATAAAATCTTCCGTGACTGTTGTAAATGTTATCAGTTCAAAGGATGAAACTTAAAAACTCCTGTAACCTTCATATCGATTTACACTATTTCGTCTAATTTTCTTAAATCAGTTTAAAAGTAGAAACTGAGAACTTACCCACCAATAACGTACGTCCTAACACGAGCCACACATCTCACTGCTAGTTATAAAATGCCTTGGTCTGGCGACGCCACGACCGCAAAGCTGCCAGCTATGACGTCATTGTGACGTTTCAGGTTAGGAGCATGGCAACGTTTGGCGCTTGACTGCTTGTACTGGGTGCCGTTCCACTTACCGATCTTATCTGAGATCAATCTTAGCAAGTTACACCAATTTTACAATCCTCTTAGCTAAAAAAAAAAGTTACACCCGTTCCACTAACCGATCTTAGGCTGTTTGTAGCCGGTCCCGATCTTACGATCCGATCCAAGCTTAGATCGAGACTCTTTCTTGCGAGAGATAGAGAAATGCGAGGAAGTAGTTTTCGAACCAAGTGTAAACGTGCACACTCCGGCACAGCGATGACTTAACATAACATCACTGCCACAGGCAAATTTGCATATCACGTGACCGGACATTTCTCTTGTTTGTAATCAAACGCGCATATTCATAATAAGAAGAGACTGGACCCACGAAAGCTTTTCGGCGCTCTCTCTTCATAATGTTTTACATTGTTACATATATATTCTTCCACAACTGCAACAGTTAGGTCTATGACAGTACATATTTTAATTAGATATCAAACTGGCTGCATTGTTTGCTTCGATGACAGCACGTGGAGCCGTACAACCTATGTAAACAAAGGATCGCTACGCAAATCGAAATAGTGTTACATGTTTTTGGATATTTTCTCAGTGAAACTAAACCATTCTATTAAAGATGTTTAGTTAGATGTGTAGACTCGTCAAAAATAAAAGAGTGAAAGAAATATGTACATTTTAATGAAGGGACATTGCAAGATGTGAGGAATCGTCACATTTTTCTGGCCTGTGGCAGAGATACTATGCTGGCTTGCCGCATGGAACTCTGGGTAGGAGAGTGCGTGGAGAAAAAACCTCGAGGAAAATGTTAGGGTAGTGAGCACCTTGGTTTCAGGGGCAAGTGCGGCTGAACGCCTCTACCTAGACTAACAACTAGTCTCTGAAATGAACATATTTTACTGACAAAAAGTTCATAGTAAAACATAAATGAAATATAATGAAAAGGAGCCCTGAGACTTTCTTCATTTTCAGACCTGAAGCTGAGGAAATCTAGACTTGCCACAATTTCTAGACTTGCGTTGGCTTTCTTGGATATATTTGCTTCAGAGTCTGTACGACAGACTAGCCTCTACCTCGCCACAAGCACACCATCTGATAACGTATCTAGAATCTAGTCTAGTCAGTAGTCTTGAAAAACACGCGGCCTGAATCCCCTACCAAATAAGTCGGGTGAAATCAAACATATTTGTATCTTTTTGTTTCAGAACATTGTTCACTTCACGACCCGTCCCTATTCTTAACCATGACGTTGTAATATTGTTGTACAAATGTATTACACCGACACCCTCGGCTGTGTTCCCATGACGACAGTGGTCAGACTGGCCTGACATTTGTAAGGCTTCAGTGCAGTGTTTGTTTACATCACAGAATTAACATATTCATTTCATGGTTATCAAAGAATCGACCGATCCAGTCTGTCAATCAAAACTGACACATGCGTCAATTTTGGCCAATCAGCAGGCCGGGCGCGCTGTGTGGATTTGTCAGACTTATTTCCGGGGGTCAAACGATGCCTCCAAAGCGATGTGCTTCGAATTATGCCATTCACACTTGCTATATCTATTACATATTGCTGCGATTTCATGTGTACCTTTAACACAACCATTACGATCAAGCCAAAAGATTTGAGGCGGATCAAGTAGTGTGATAGGTCTCGCGATCAGTTAAATGTCGGCATATATCGTTCACGAAACCTACGTCTGCTCGAAGGTGAGAATTTGCACGAATTTCGACACTTTCGCACACGTGCAAAATCATTACCAATGAATGACAACAAATAGCAGTTTAAGTCTTTGCGAGTGTTATAAACACGGACATTTTTTGTAACTGCAAAAATGTTTTTGCTTAACGTTTTTAGTCAATACTGGGCATTGAGTTGGTACGCCATAAAGCTGAAATGAGACAGGCGAAATCAGATCGCTTTAAAGCCGTGACACAATGTAAACAAATCTGACAGCGACCTAATTTCGGTTAGGGTCGACCGAAATAGCAAAACTTGTTACATTAAAGGACAATGTGGTGGATATTGTTGCCTTCGCTCTTAGATATTCTTAAATTTGTCACACATTTTTGGATGTTTAATAGTTTCACAAGCACAATTTGAATGCCTACTGACAGTATCTGTTAATAGTGCAAAATATTCGAGGAGTAATATGTTTTATTCAAACGGAAATGTAGTCAGTGTCAGCAGTTGCCTATCCAAATATCAAAATTAATTCAAATTAGTGTCTATAAAACCATGCCTTAAATATTTTAGAATTTCTTTAAAGAGATGGGACCTTGAATTGAATTGTACCTTACTCCGTGTGGATCGGAGACCTATGTGAGAAGAATAGTGACTTTCTGGAATATTAAACGAAGTGAAATAAAAGTATATTTCTTAACCATGAGAACATTATTTGTTTTGAATTTTGTTACAACATAAATTTTTTACATGTAGGGGAGGTATATTGGTACATTTTAGGAGTAAAAACAGAACTGTTAATTTAATTAATTCACTGGACAT